TGTCAAAGAACGAGATCGGCCGCTACCTCAGATTCGTGGAAACGGACATAACCGACGCCAACAGCATTCTCAATGGACTGGAGCCAGTCATCGGACTCCTTTCGGCAGAGGCACCGCTTCCTCAGTGTCAGCGTCACAGAGTGTCTTAGTATCTGAGTGGATACACTTTACTAAATTACACTTTTTGGCTAGCGGTAGCCACTCTAAAACTGAAAGTGTGGCTTATGAACTCAACAACTAAGGTGTGGTGGATGGACAGTTCCTTGATTCACGAGCCGAGCGAAGCCTACTGTCGCAGCCACAATATCTTCACCAGAGTGCCGCCGTTCAATGGAAACGTGGCGACACTGGGATGCATGAAAGTGGCCGATATTGTTGTTTATTGTCTTGTGTAGTTTGCCGTTTATCCGCTCAGGGAGGCGATGATGAAGGTCTTCGCCAATCAGTGTCAAGACGACAAGGACCGCAGTCCAATCCTTCGCCTGTCTAGTGTAGTGCACCAAGTCTGACCATTATGAATCTGAAGCGACAAGGACCTGGCTGTCCTTTTGGACGGAGGGGCCAGCAGAGCATCTACGAAGATCTCGGGCCTCCTGAACAAGCACTGCAAACGTCAATCCCAACTCGGCAACTGGCATCTCTTGCCGAGTCAAACAGACCTCGAGCAGCGTGCCATCCACCTCTCTGCGCCACTTGGCTGCATGGCTCACAAGTAGGACCAGGAAAGCTGTCTTCCTGGTTCAAAATAGTTATCCAAGGGACAGCGGCGCCAGTGTCAAGCGGCGGAGGAAGGCTTCCAGCTTGTCCACTGTCGTGGGCCGTGACCAGGCTCTTCAGTGGTTCACTTTTTTTACTTTCAGGTTTCTGGGTTTTTCCCAGTGGGTTACTGAACAGCCTAGGTGAGGGACTTCATTTCCTCCTTCATGGCGGGCAGCTTCAAGTTCGAGATTTGAAGTTTATGACGGGGCCCTCACAGCCGGCATCGGATTCGTCCTGCCCTTACCTGCCCATCGTGTTGCCAAATCCACGCCAGCTGAAGCCCATGGTCAAAAAGGAGCACAAGCAAGAGGCCGGCCCGGGAGCCCACGGCCCTCGCCCGAATGGGGTTTCCTGCCTGTGCACAGGTTCTGCTGCCTTTCGATCCCAAGGATAAGAAGGTCGTCGCAGACCCGGACAGCGGGGTGTTGCCTGAACTGGGTGAGGAGGCCAGGCCGGCAAGCAGGGTTCGTTTAAATAAAGACAGACTGTTGTGGCAGGAGCTGGTGCCCCTCCACAGCTTCAGCAAGAGTCGCCTCTTCTATCAGGAGATGAACCATTTGCTGCACGCCTCCTCCTTGATCTTGATCACTCCCGACCCTGAGCACCTCATTGCCTGCCTGCTGCAGAAAATCAGCGCATTTGTCATGGTCCGGTCTTCGCTTCACCTGAAAATCCTCTCGGAGCACTTGGAGGAGTACGTCAAAGCGGGCTTGCAGGATTCCACGAACACTCGATTCTACAATCCCACTCTGGTCGATTACCTGAATGGCCTGTCCGAGCCAACAACCGGAGCCCCAACTGCTGACCCGGCCCCGGCCCCCAAAGCGGCCCCGGCCCCCAAAGTGGCCCCAGCCCCCAAAGCGGCCCCGGACCCTGCAACTGGAGGCTCGACAGGCGGGGCACCAGCGCCCACTGTTCCGCCGGTGACCCCGCGATCATCGCAGACTTCAGGGTCCGAGGGCAATGACGATGAGTCGGAGGAGTATCCTCTTTCGGACTGAGCATTTTCAATGGAGCACTCCTCCGGTTTTGATTCGGACGGAGGCAGCGGCCTCGATTTTGCTTCCGCGACCCGGGAAGAGAACAGAGAGCAGCGTTCGATAGTCGTTGATGAAGCAAAACACCTCGCATCATGCATCGGGCCGCGGGTGTCAAGGCCAAGAGGGCCATTGGAGACCCAGGTTTGCCAGTGTCAGCTCTTCGAGCCCTGAGCTGGCCCTGCTTTGTCAGCACATCTATCCGGCTTCGAAAAGGAAGAGAGCAGGTAAGGTCAGATGAAAACAATGCACGATGGGCGGACTCGCACATTTTCATCTCTGAACCTTTGCGGTCTTCGTGCTTGGATGCAGGTAGCAGGTTTGTCATGTCCTTGCAAAACAGATTGACACTGCTCTTGTAACTGCAAGAGACATGATGCACGGTGATCCTTTGGCAGTCTGATTGGGACAAGCTTGTGCAAGCATGGTTTGTCAATGTTTGTCAATCTTGGTGTATTTAGTATCAATCAAAGATGGCCCTGAAGCGATCCCGAGAGCCTGATGCGGAGCTCTCGGATGCAGCACCTGTGCCCGCTCCGCCCCCTGCAGTGTCAATGCGACCACGGCGCCCAAAGAGTCCAGAAGGAGATAGAAAACGGTGTTCAGGGCAGTGATTACCTGCTGCCGATGGCGTTGGTGCCTTGTCAGGAGAACATTGTCGGAAGTGCGAAGCGTATTACGGCAGTGTGAAGGGCTCGGTCGAAGGAGAGCCCATGTTTCGACAGCTAGGGTTTGCATCGCTTCGTGTGCTTAGGTCAAGAAGGCCGCCCAACGGTGCAATCGCTGCCGGTGGATCAAGTTCCGCCACAAATGGACACAGCACTGTCGATATGTACGTGCAGATGGCGTGTCAGTGTCATGGCTGGGCGAGTCCAGCTCAGAGCATCCATGGGGCCTTGGATGCTCCGTGTGCTTCGAAGTTGCTGCGAACTTGGACGCCACGTGTTCCCCGTACATCCTTTATAGCAAAGGCGCACTGGGAGTGCGAAGGGACCAGGCAGGGCAAGAACTCAACTTCACGAAAGTGTGTGTCGAGGTCCGTGAAACAGTTTCGTTGTGCATCAGGCCGAGGAGCAGTGTCAGGACCCTCTCCAGATCGAAGATTTGCGTCGCCACGGAGAGTCAAAGCTGCACTTGACTTCCTTGGAGAAAAGGTCGGCGGCCAGCAGCACGGCCGGTGCCATGGCGAAGCAGCCGGAGAAGGACAACTCAGCTCCCACGAATGCACAGCTGCATCGAGCTGTGGAACTGCTGCAAAAGCAAACACGTGCCGGACAAGGAAGCCTGTACGAGCTTTCCTGCAAACAAAGCCGGCAAGCAGATCCCTTGAATTTTCCAGAAGCCAGAAGCTCTTCAAAGGAATGCATGAAGCTGATTGAGGCTTGTGCAAATGTGGAGAGGAATAAAGACAGAAAGCTGCTCAGAGCGGCACTTGCCATCGGATGGGCCGAGGCGGGTGGGCAGGGCGACACCTGTGGTTGGCCTGCAAATCCAAATGTGGTGCCAGGACGTGTCTGGCAGTCTGAGGGAGGTCAAAGTGAAGCTGGTAATGCCCGATTTTAGCATCCAACGCCGCTTGCTCTGCTTGGAGCAGATCCACGGAAAGAAGGCCAGAGCGTCGTTGCGGCATGCCGCTTTGTTGCTTGCATGTTCTGACAGGCATCTTTGGACAAGGTGGATCAAATCGAGGAAACCTTGACGACCATGTTTGACAGCGAGGCGGAGCGGAATTCATTCAGGAATAAGGTAGTGTCCTTCACATCTGATGGAGAGCCTGCCGAGCTCCTGGCCGGCCAATTCGCCAAGGACGGGTGTTTCAAATCTGTGCACTCTCTCGGGCGGAAGTGTGTTGCAGATGATGCGAAGTCTCGTGCCAGGCAATGCAGGTTCTGCCACAATGTGCCACTGTACGGTGTCAATTACACACCGCACAACGTTCCCTGGAACGTTCGATGGAGAGTGACCCTCGGTGTAAGGAACTGCTGCAAGTCTTCATCAGGAACTTCAGCGGTGATAGACCAGGGCAGCATGGCTCTCTGGCCAGAGCTCTCAAGAATTCAGGGCCGTTGCTGGCTGACTTTCAGCAGTCCGCCACTAGGCCTGAGGAGGTTGTGTTTGAGTCGACATCGCGACCCCACCCCTGCAGAGCCTGATGCCCCATTTAAGAGCCCAGGTTCGGGACGAGATTCAGCAGCTGGCTTCACTTAGTGATACCGTGCCTGGATTTTCGCATGCCATGCAAAGATTCGACACGATGACGGACATTCTCAAAAAAATGTGCCTTTACATCTCGCCCATCAAGAAGTTTCTGTCGAAGGTGGTTGCCTCCAAAAATAACTCATCTCGTTGGGCCATGTCGATGCTCAAGGCAGGGGCCAGACTCCTGCTCGGGAAGCAAATGCTTTGCCCTGGGGTGAATTAGTTGAAACAGGTACTCCGCGAGTCGGACGTCATTTTGCTCGCACTCATGGCGGAGTTCGGCGACATAGTCCAGCCGTTCATACATGAGTTCGACACAGGGGAGCACCACAAAACCAAAGCGGGCTCTGTGGGGCCACTGGACACCATTCGGACCGTGGCAGAGACAGACCGGCTTCTGCGGAAGTTGGAGGAGGCCGGTGCATGTGAAGGCACTATGACATGTGCTTGCACACTCACAAGACTGACAAGCTGTACATTTTGCTAGCAGGACCTAACACACATGTTCGAGTTTGGCGAGCCTTTGGCAGACGGTCGCCGCCGGTCTCCGGGAGTGCTTGTGATGGAGAAGGGGTACGTGAATATAGTGCGGAGGCAACTTGATTTGGGCCCGGACCCCAAGGGCTAGGTGCAGCAGTGAGGCTTAAGTTCCCCGAAGCTGGTCTGGAAAGTCTGAGGCACGGAACAAGCTGTGGTGTGCCATGGCGTCCTCATGCACCATGTTCCAGGGTCAGAACCAGGAGGGGGAAGCTGTGCTCGTGCAGATGCCCCTTCCTGCAACTGTTGCCATCAGGCAGCTTCGACCGCAAGGTTGCGAACGAGTTGGGCAGCATCCTCAATATCAAGAAGATGCTTCTGTCGAGACTACGAGCGCATTCCTTGGGGTCTACGTTCGCCCCCTTTGACTTGGAGGGGTGGAATGAGCGGTCGGACCGGGCTTTGTTGCTCGTCGGCATTAGATTTCATGGTGTGCAGAGTCATTCCAGCGGCAAGGGGCGAACTGAGGCTGGCCACCCTGGATCCACTTGCCAAGGCCCTGTCCGTGGAACCGGAGTCTTTGGTGAAGGAGCTGCTCGTGGCACGACCCGCCGCGGTCAACCTCTTCAAGCGTGGTGAGCTGAACCCATGGGGATTGGCCATGAAACACTGGGGTTCCCAGCGCCTGCCTGGGCTTTACAAAGCCGTCGGTGTCTCAATAGATCCGAGTCACTTGAGCCTTGCTTTTGCAGTTTGCAGCATTGCAGCCAGCTCACATCCAGGTATTGCTCATCCTGGCCACGTGGGCATCAACTGGTGAGGTTGAACAAGCATACTCGCGGGTGCGGCTCATCTCGCAAGGCATCAAGAGCAGCACGACGACGGAACACACCTACAACCAACTAAAGGTCGTCCTAGATGCACCCCCCGCTGACAAGCTCGTCATTGTCAGCCGCGACCAGGATGGCCGCGTGACCTACAAAGCAACTAGAGATGGCAACATGATTTTGCTGAAGTACCGCAGCTTGTACGGCGGCAACACCAATGTCAGAGTCAAGTCTTCCGATCTTCCACGTCGAATCCTGGGCGACAGAAAAAGGAAGACAGGGTACAAAGCCTTTACCCGAGAACGGGGGGAGGACCGGGCTGCGGCCAGGTCTGTGCTGATGAGCGGCGAATCTGCGGCCGAACTCGAGAAGTTAGGCCTGGCGTCAGCATTGTCACGAGAAACTGAAGAGCAGCGTCACCTTCTCCAAGTGTTACAAGAACAACACAGACAGAAGAAGAAGATCTTTCAGGATGCCGATCCTCGCAGCGTGCAGAAGAAACTTCGTGAACACGAGAAGACTCGCAGAGTCAAGGCGGAGAACATCAACAGTATGGAAAGGAGATCGCTCACTCAGGACGTGGACATTCTTCACGGCCAGACCTGTTGCATCTATGTCGGGAGTCGAAGTAGGAAGACTTCGGGAACCTTGGAAGCGCTCGGTCAAATCCCAAATGTAGAATGCGTGACATACGATGAGGCCATGGCTGGAATGGCCAAGCTTCTGAGCGCAGAGGTCAACGTGGTGTGGCTTTTTCCCACAGATGACAAGATGCAATCGTTTGTGGACCCCCTCGGCATCGGTGCTTCAATCTCTTCGGCAGCGGACGAGACCGTCAAGCTGCAGGCCATTGGCTCGGCATGTCGTCAAATTGCGCCGCGAATGATTGGCGGTTATGTCGCCGGAAATGCTTTTTTGCAAATGCAGTTGGCCCCAGCCAACCGATCGCAGATGCGGAAGCCGATTCTTGAGCTGGAGCCTGGTTTGTGGCAGAACCTGGAGCTGACCTTTCACGACACAAAGCTGTCCCCGAACATCGCCACTCTCATAACATCGATCTTATCAGAGTCCCTGACATCCCCCAGAGGCAGCCTCATCAAGTGGAGCGTGAAGAAAGAGGAAGACAAAGTGTGACTCGTCAGACTGTAAAGAGATTTCATCCCGCCAACACACATGAGGTTTGCATGCAATGCTTGCTGAGTCAAAAGCTTAAATTAAAAAACGATTGTGGACCAGGAAGAGAAAAAACGGCATCATCTTGCAAGATGCACTTGCCAACAAGATCAAGAAGAAAATCACGAAAAAGATGGGCCTGCCAACTGGCCTCGATGACTTCTTGACTACGATCAGCCGGCATAGGACTCAGGCAGTGTACTTCGCAGGGAGGCCTCGGAAAGTTTCTGCATGAATAATAACCAGTGTCTCCCAGGTGGAAATGAGTGCGACAAGGACAGCGATGAGGGCCAAGATGATTCAGTCAATTTCACATTTGGGGTTGGGAAGGCTCCTGCATGCCAACTAGCCGTGGGGAGGCTTGTCCATTTAACAGATAATGCACAAATCAAACTGTTTAAAGGTTGGCTTGCAGGAGACAAACTAAAACAACGCATTCGAAAGACAGGACTCGTGGGGCGAAGCCTGAAAATGAAGCACAGAATTTCTCAGAATTCGCGGCTCCAGTGTTCTTGCGAACGGACTCTGTTGATGCAGGTGGATTGTTTCAGTTGAAATGCACCAGCAGGCTTTTGTTCACAGTGTGGCGCCAGCTCTTTAGCTTCAGCCGCAGACATGGCAGCCCCTGTCTCCGGGACAAGTTCTGGCACGGAGAAGAAGTGCCGGAACCTCTGTAAAGAGTTTCCCCCTCAATGGAACCAGCGTCTCTCCGCCTTTTCCAGGCAAATACAAGGACATCGCGACCCTGGATGCTGAGGCATTGTGCCAGAAGCAGGCGATAGGGATCCGACACGAGAAGGGCTTGTCCGCATGCGAGCCTGCACCAGGTCACTCTGACCGACATGCAGAAGCTGTGGGATTCACTTTCAAGGCAGAGCGGCCAGAGTGATTCCATGCAAAGCAATAGAATAATATGACATGCTTCAGGAGCATGCCGGTGACCAAGAAAGACAAGATGTCATATGTGCCACGGCCCCAGCCCGGACATGGGGGTTTGGTGCAGTGTTCTGAGACAGCATTCTGCAGGACTTTGGGGATGAAGTCCGACATGACAGTGTCAAATGAAACGGCAGTCATGCCGAACTTGACGAAGGCATGCAGAGCGTTTTGTGCGAGTTCAGAATCAGAGTGAAGGAGAAGCTAGATTTCATTTCTTGCGTCTGGGTGAGGTTGTCTGCAAGTGGCTTTCCCAGAAGGCCCAGGACAGCCGCGTCTTGGTCAAAGACCCGGCCACCGGGAAAGAGATGCTGCTTGGTGCAGGTCAGTCAGAGTCAATGTCCATGGCCGATTAGGCTGTTGTAAGTCATTGTCATTCGCCGAGGACCAATATGAAGATCGCCTTCAACTCGGTGCAGATCCTCAAGCTCAGCGGCCCGCTGGCTGGGGTCGCGAACCTTCGTACATTGTCAAGCACTTCGGGCGTATTGGCTATCGCATCGGAACCAGTGTCAATCTGGTCGTGGGCTACGGCAGCGAGCTATGGCAAGCTTGGCGACGGAGGGGTCCGACACTCGATTCACGACCAGGCAGGTTGGCACCGTTCATGTTAAAGACTCCTTGGCATGCCTCAGCTTTGAAACGGTCCTGGATGCAGGTTGCTTTGTTCGACGGACGGCTGCCGCATTGCTTGTTGGACATCGGCAAGCAGAACAAGATGGGCTTCCTGATGGTGGCACGCACCGTTGAGTGTCAGGGGACTCCGGACGATGCCGGCAGAAAGGACACTCTCAAGAGCTTGGGCTTTAAACTATCGCCTGCTGCACTACCCACACTTCCAGGTGGCATGGCTGACAAAACCACTTTGATCAAGGTGGCCAAGAGGTTCCTCAGAGCCTCGCTCCAAAGAAGTCTGCACAGACTACCCTGTACAACATACTAGAAGTGATAGCAGCCATACCGTTGAATGCCAGGAACCGAGCTGGGCATGCTGGATGACAAGCCCAAGGGTACTGGATGGTGCAAGCACTGCTCGTGCGAGGCCTGCCGTGAGAAGCAGCAGAAGGTGAAGGAGAAGGAAGATGCGAAAAGGGCCAAAGAGGATGCCAAGAAACGGAAGGCAGTGTCAGGGGCCGCGAAGGCTGCCTCCAAGAGGCGAGCTGCGGCGCCGAGCTGATATCCTGACCCTTGCTGCCAGTGTCAATTTTGTATATACTTCGCAAGGCGACGTGCGTTCTGGGATGTCAGTCTTGTCGTGCAAACTTCGCGGGGCGAAGTTAACATCAAAGTTTCATCGTCAGCAGCCAGTTTCAAAAAGACCGTCAGCAAGCTTGGCAGCGTCATTGTGCAACATTCTTGAGAGCATGTGACAGCCGTTACATGTCTTTCTGCGCCTCTGGCGGCGAGGTTGGACCCGTCGTGCACAGTGCGGAAGCCCAGACCGTCAACGGAAAGTGTGCATGAGCTTGGAGGCCTAGTGCGTAGACTCGTTCTTTCTCGCTGTATCTAGGTATGCTGTGCAGGCTCCGAGTAGAAATTAAACTCCTCGCTCGGGCTGGGGGTGGGCAGGGCTAAAGAAATTGCCCTGTGACACTTAGTCAGAAGCCCAGCAGAACAAACTGCCACCCAGTAACCCTAGAGTGACAGATACTCTCAGAACCACTTGAAACGTCCAGGCTTGCCACACTGACTGTAAATAAACAGAACCACGAGACATTGCTAAATTAGAATTTAATAGTGCAGCTTGAGATCTGCCCCCGGGATGACTTCCTGGCCTCAGCACAGGTGCAAGCAGGTTGCCAGTGTCGCTGGTATCCTCAATTGAATTGCCGCAGTCTCAGCAACAAGTGTACGGATTTAAAAAAGACAAAGGGCCTGTCTACGACCATCCTCAGTAGCAGACACCTGCAGCAGATGATGATAAAAGAGCTTCAGTCATCGTCCTCGCGGTGTTTGATTGTTGTCGTCGCAGTAGCATCCGCAGCAACAATGCCCAAACCTTTCATGATTATGTTTGAGACGGTCTAGCAAGTTTTGGGCTCACAGTGTGTGGACCGGCTGTGTATCTTCAGCTGCAGAGATGGAGCCCGCAGTCGCCCGCGTTGTTTCTGGCGAGGAGAAGAAGCGCCCATGCCTCGGTAAGCAGTCTTTTCAATTCCAAGACAGCACCCACGACCCTCTTAGTTATTCAAGGCAAGTACAAGGACATCTCGACCGCAGAGTTGAACAATATCAGCAGCACGAAGGCTTGGGAGTATTAAGGGTCTGACAACAGGGCTTTTGTAAATGCGAACTTGGGACAGATCCAGCTCGCTGACATGCAGAAGCTCTGGGATGGACTCTCGAGGCACAGCAAAAAAGGCTCCATGCGAGTGTGGTTCTTGATTTTAATGCGGCCATGCTTGAGGAGCATGCCCGTTACCAAGAAAGGCAAGCTCTCCTACGTGCCACGGCCCCGGCCCGGACCTTGCCGCTTGGTGCAGTGTTCTGACAGCGTACTGAAGGACGTTGGGGATGAAGTCCGACATGACACTGTCAACTGAAACGAGAACCATGCCGAACTTGACACAGGCATGCCCAGTGGTGTTGAAGTTTGCAAGCTGATAAGAACCAAGACTTGGGTTCTTGTGGATCAGGTAATCTGCAAGTGGCTTGGCCAAAAGGCCGAAGGCGGCCATGCCTTGCTATTCCACGGCGCCACAGGTGCAGCACAGAGGCTTGGTGCAGGAATATGTATGTCCATCATTCGTAACACAATGCCGAGGTCCAGTGTCAAGATCGCATTCTACCATAATGCCAAGGTCCAGTGTCAAACTCGGCTTCAACAGCTTGCAGATCATGAAGCTGAGCGGACCGCTCAGTGGAGTGTCCAACCTTCGTACAGTGTCAAGCGATTCGGCGGTTGTCCTCATCGCATCGGAGCCAGTGTCAATCTGGTCGTGGGCTGCAGCTGCACTTGGTGACAAACCTCAGGGCGGGCTCCAGCACTCGCTCCACGACCAGGCCAGGAGCTCGCCGTTCCTGTTGACGGCATGCATTAAGATAGCTACAGACTGTATTGTTTCTCTGCAGGTCACTTTCATCGATGGGCTTGTTGGACGTCGGCAGACAGAACAAGATGGGCTTCCTCATTGTCGCACGGACCGTTCCGGGGATTCTTCAGGATGCTGGTGCGAAGGACCTTCTCAAGAGCTTGGGCTTTAAACTATCGGCTTCTGCTGCACTACCGGATCTTCCAGCTGGCATGGCTGAAAAGAGGTCTTTGATCAAGGTGGCCAAGAGGTTCCTCAGAGCCTCGCTCCAAAGAAGTGTGCACAGACTACCCAAAGTGTTCTGTACAACATACTCGACTAGTAGAAGTGGTAGCAACGATACCGTTGAATGCCAGGAACCGAGCTGGACAAGGAAGACAAGCCCAAAGGTACTGGATGGTGCAAGCAGTGCTCGTGCGAGGCTTGCCGTGAGAAGCAGCAGAAGCTGAAGGAGAAGGAAGATGCGAAAAAGGCCAAAGAGGATGCCAAGAAACGGAAGGCAGTGTCAGGGGCCGCGAAGGCTGCCTCCAAGAGGCGAGCTGCGGCGCCGAGCTGATATCCTGACCCTTGCTGCCAGTGTCAATTTTGTATATACTTCGCAAGGCGAGGCGAAGTGCGTTCTTGGATCGTAAGCTCTCGGATCGTCAGCAGCCAGTGTCAAAAGTTGATCCGTGTGCATGGCAGCCACGTTGTCAGCACCTTGAATGCTGTAATACATTTTCGTGAATTGATTGACAGAGCTGGTTCCGCCCAGGTTGAGCATTACGGCGCCCTGGATGCGAAAGCAGGGGAGCCCAGGACATTTCGAAGGTGTCTGTGGCTTGGAAGATTCAGACCTTACCTTGGTTTAGGGTTTAGGGTTCAGGGTTTAGGGTTTGGGTTGTAGGGTCTCAGTCAGTCTCTCTCTCTCTCTCTCTCTGATTGTTTCTGTCTCTTTGTCAATCTCTCTCTCTCTCTCTCTCTCTCTCTCTCTCTCTCTCTCTCTCTCTCTCT